GAAATGAGGGCCGTGAATTTAGTTTGTTTGCCGTTACGTTTGGTTTGGTTTTGTATGGTTTTTTTATCAATTGGGCAGCTCCCTTTTCCACAAGCCTTTGTGACTGTAGAACTATTGTAGAAAAAAAAAATGTTCTTTTCTATATATAAAAAGAAATTATCCAGCGCAGTAATATTGGTACCTACCATTTTTTCACTTCTGTTTAAAAAAAAAAAAAAATATGTATTTTTAGCAAGATAACTTGGGTAATCTTCTAAAAGAAATTAAAAAAAATCTCACTGTTAGTGACTTTGATGCCTTTTAAAAATAAGAGCTTTTTCATTTCATTCCATCTTTAAAATTTTTTATCTTTGTTGTAGAATATTAAAAACTATTTTAAGAAAGATAAAAATTCTCTTTAAAGAGATCTCTAGAGTGTGTGAATAGGAGCTCCAGATGCCTCTAAAAGCCGCATGTACAAATGAAGCTGAGTCTATTCCTGTCTGTTTATATTTGCTTTTCCTGTTTTGTAACCTCTTTGTACTTTGTTCATGGTGACTTGTAAGCTAAGGGGAAGGGGTGCCTAGATGCCTTTGTAATTCTCCATGTCATACGCTCCTGGCTGGATGGTCTCCCTTCCTCTCCTTGTATGTAATATCACTTTTTTTTCCCCTTTCTAGCAAGTACTTTCAAAAGAACTCTGTACATTTTAACATAAAAAATAAATTATGTTGAGCCATTTTGGATGTCAGTTGTGCATGTGGATTTTTTTTTTTCTTCCACTTGAGCAGTGAACTCTGTCAGTGATCCTTGGTCCTGGGAATGTGATTCCCTGTTGCCCTTTTGATCTGGAAGAGAGGTGGTACTTGGAATTTACTTGTGAGATCTCTGTCCATGTTAATTTTTATCTACAGCTTCTAATCAGAGAAAGATTAAGAAGAAAAACCAAAAACTTCAAAGCTTCTCCAGAAACCATCACCTTTAAATTCCTCTCTGCACAGGCTGCCCAAAGCTGAAGCAAAGTGTGTTGGCTGGTTTTTGTCAGCCTCTGTTGGTACAGCCGCTTGGGAGTTTTGGCTTGTGCACTTGAAAGGTTGCAGTGTGTGTTTGAAGCTTCCCCCACGCCCCTTCAGTTGCTCTCTCATCTTTATAAATAGCACTTTGGAGAACTACAAGTTTTACCCAGCAAAGTTTACCCTGCAGCTTCAAGGCAGAATTGGATCAGTCATGAGCTTTACGGTGCTGTCCCAGTAATTCTCAAAGCTCACAACGTACAGAACGCTAGATGGAAGCAAAGTTCCAGCCAGCGTTTGATCATTGCCAGAGCTTCCCCGTGACAGATGTTGTAGCAGTAACCGCTAGCTCAGCCTCCTTCGGCAGCCCAGGGGCAGGCTGCCCGCGGCCTCTGGGGCCCTAACCTGCAGCCTGGCAGGCGCTCCCGGGAGCGGGAAGTGGGGGAGCCCGGGGAGGGGCGACGGGAGCCTTCCAAGGCTTTTCTGCACAAGCGTGTCTTCCAGGAAGCAAGCTATGTTTGCGTGTCATGGTAAATAAATGAGAAGGACCTTGAGAACTAGTAATATTAAGTTTGATGTGCTTTTCATATCTTAAGTCCTCACCAAGATGGAACATAAGGTGCGGATGATGATGAATCTTCCTTTAAGCTGATCTATTTTTCCTGGGACTCGTTAAAGTTGTTTTATTGAGGCGCCTGAATTTTCAGATCAATCACGTCAAGACACAAATAGAAGTTAACCGTACAGGGGCACTCCTGGGTGATTTGTTCATTTATTCTCACAACAGTTTTTAGGTTATTCAAGCATGGAAGGGGAGAGAGGCAGGTGAGCTGTGATTAAGGTTTTCACTACTTTAATCACCTCTGAATTACAGGGAGTACATCGAGAGTGTTACAGGTAAGAGTCGTCAGGATCTCAGCAGATACGCACCCGGTGTGTTTGCGTGTAGGTGCGTTCCTTTCCCATAGTCTGTGCTGGAGGCAAGACTGAATGAACTACTCTGTGACAGAAAGCTGCATTCAGTCGCTCTTGGCTTACTTTTAATTTCTCTGAGTTGTTCACTAAAGGAAGCTTTGGTGCTGTCCAGTAGTGAAGTTATGAGTTGGTGGGTGCCACTCCAGTGTGCCCTGGTTTTTCCATACTTAACCAATTGTGGCTTGGGGTCTTTTGGGTTTTGCTTGTTATTTTCTGTATACGCTAAAATTAGCAGATTTGATTTGACCATTAAAATGTGCTTGGCTTTAGTTGTTATCTAACAATGATACTGTTAGAGTCAGCTTTTATTTATTACCAATTTTCAGAAGCATCTCCTATTTATATGGGTTTTAAAAGTAAAATACCAATTGAGAACAGTTGCACGTCCTCCAGCAATTCAAAGTGTCTTTGACTTCCAGAATTAATGTGCTGAGTGATTAGACTAGAGAATAATTCTGCTGCTTTAGATAACTCTAGAATTTGAAATGGTCATGGCAAATCAATTCCATGAAATAACAGCATACGTTTATGTTCTAGTAAAATGCTTGCATCGTAAACTGACAAGTAGGGCAATTCAGAGTCTTTATCTGATGCCCTGGCACCAAAGTCTGGTTACACATGCTGATAGGAAATGCTTTTCAAGTAATTGTTTGAGATCTTTGCAATGCTTAACCACAAGCTGTTCAAGGTAGAGTTGAACAGGGCCAGCGCTAATAATAATTAAAGTTCTTATGCACTTCTCAAATCTTAAGGTAGTAGAAACTATTTTAAGAAGAAAAAGCCAATGTCTAGATAGGAACATAATGATTCGTAGCAGCTTTCTAGCTTTGTGGTCCAAGGAACAAAGGTAAGTGTTTACAGAGATCTATAAACAAGATGATGAAAATGTGATTCCAGAGTTAATGAGCTGATAAACAGTAACTGCTACTTAAGAAATGTTCATAAAAAGCATTATTTGATCAAATAGGCTGCACTGTTAATAGTCTCTGCTTGTTTAAAAAAAACCCAAATAAAACAAAAACCTGTTTGTGTGGGCTAACTTGATAACCACATTTAGGAGCTATGAACAAGGTGAGCTCTTCTTTAGAATCTTGTTACACAAACTGTCAAATCCTACCATTAGAGAATGACTAAATAGGGGAGGGGGGTTTGTTGGGTGGTTTGGGTTTTTTTTTTTGTTGGGGGGGGCGCGTTAAGAGAGAGTTACCAAGCCAGAACAGGGTTGAAATCAGACTGTCCTGAAGTACGAGAACCTTCAGTACCTTACAGCATGGTGTGACCAGCTGCTGCTGCAGGCTCTGCCATTGCCACAGCCAGGTGTCATACGGTGACGTGGTGAGAGTTGCTCCATTCAGCACTGTCTGGTTTGCTCTAAATTAGTTGGTGTGGACCAACACGTCTGTTACCAACCCTCAATATGCAGGGAAGAGTTTGAATGCCAGCCACCCAGCAACGCACAAACTACTGCTGGGAGACTAGTGGTGTGGTTTTGAAAGAGGCAACTGAAAGGAGAATGATCTTAAAGGTGCCCGTCAATTCCAAAAGCTCATCAGTGAGGTAATTAAGAAAATGCTAAAAAGAACAGAACCATCTTAATTAGGTTCCCAACTCAGGGAGAGAGCTCCTTGCTGAGATCCTATCTCTGCGTAATAGAGGAATGCAGATAGGCTGAGGCAGACTAAGTTTACAGCAGCTAAGGTGGGGCCTGCAGCATCTTTTATCTTCACAGCTTGTCAGACAGAATAATTTACCTAAAAATAGCTGCCTGAAGTTGAGCTTTGAATGTAAAATCCTTTTGCCCCTCACACAGAGAATCTCAGCAACTTCACCAAACATTGATCTTCACTTGGAGCAGGGCAGGACTCCAGCTACGTGTTTAATCTCCTGAAACAGCTGCAGCAGTCCCTTGCAGACAGCATCAGGAGTTTGGTTTTGTGCTTCCTTCCTTATAGGAGGCTCTATTCTGGGGGACAGCTCTTTATGTGGAATTGGCATATAACGACCTTGTTCATTTTGTGTGATTATTTTCCTAAGGGTTCCTGTGTCAGTATCTATTTGTTCTCCCTTGCCAAGTACTTTACCCCGTGAACTATTTGGAACAGGGACTCTGTTGTCTATGTTTGTCATTTGTGTCACATGGTAGAATCCCAGCCTGTGACTGAGGTACCAGAGAGTTATCATAGTACAAATAATCTGTTTTCAAGGAAAAAGTGAGAAATATGGTGCTCTGTGCCAAATAATTAAATAAGGTTCTTTAGGATTTTTTTTTTCCACTGTGTTTCAGGGGCTCTGAGCAACCTGATCTGGTTAAAGGGGTCCCTGCTCACTGCAGGGGGGTTGGACTAGACGACCTCTAGGGGTCCCTTCCAACCCAAGACATTCTATGATTCTATTCTGTGATTCTATATGCACGTGGTACCTTTCAGCTAAAGGAGCAAGTCCATTTACTGAAGTTTTGTCATCTTCTGTTTCCCCATTTTATCCAATAGGAAGAAGCAGCAACAAGATATGACACATCTACTGTTCCAGATATTTCCCAAACAACATTTCCAAAGAAGAGACAAATCACTGTTGGACAAAAAAGTGATGTGGTGAGTTAAATGAAATTA